CAGTCTGCCCTGGGATTACTATATTACACACCCTAGTTTTGGAGAGATAATTTAGCCAAAAAGTTGAGCATTAGATTTGAGTAAATAGGGTAGTACCTGCTGCTCACTGGTATCCAGCGTGATCATGTTTAGTTTCCAAGGTCAGGTGGGATCTGGTGCCTTTAGAGTATTTAGGTCCTCAGATTTATTTAAAAGATGAATTGTGTCTCATGGGAGAATTCAAGGAGACACAATTCAATTCTATTCCACCCTCCCTTTTTACTACCAGAAGTATAGCCAGGCATCCTGGGTCACAGTGGCGCAATGGGATAAACCTTTGTGCTGCTGAACTGTTGACCTGAAGGTTGGCAGTTCGAATCCACAGGATGGGGTGAGCTCCCACTGTTAGCCCTACCTCCTGTCAACCTAGCTGTTTGAAAACATGCAAATATAAGTAGATCATTAGTACCGCTTCAGCAGGAAAAGGCAAAAGACTCTCCAAACAGTCATGCTAGCTACACGACCAGGAGGTGTCTACGGATGCAGGCTCTTTTGCTTGGAAATGGAGATAGAGCACCTCCTTCAGAGCCAGAGATGAGCACCACCTCCAGAGCTGGAAATGAAAGGAGAAACCTTTGCCTTTGTCGTGTATTTTGTTTCATTGTATGCCATTGTAATCAAGGCATTGAATATTTGTCTGTGTTTGTTTATATACTGTAATCTACTCTGGGACCCTTTGGAAAGAAAGGCAGAATATGAATAAAGTGTTGTTGTTGTTGTCATCGTCATCATCACCATCCTGGAAGAGTCAAGGACTGCAAGCAAAGCCTAGGATGCACTTTGCCTATCCCTGTCATAAAAGATCAAGGGATTACCCCGTACCTCTCTCTTTAAATAGGTGTGTTGTTTATAGCAGGGCTTCTTAAACTTTTTCCATTCATTTTTATGTGACTGCAGTTATATAACATAGGTGTAAAAATCAAATGTTTACTGTCAATAAACCAGTATTTGCAAAGTTTGCTAAACAGGCTGATTTTCTTTTCTGTGGAGTACAGCTGAAGCATCTTCTGCTTCAACTGTAAACACTGCTTATTGTGGCTAGCAGAGTTGTGTAAATGGGTGCCATTCAGAAACCTTTTGATGTTGCCAATTTTTTGTGACCCGAACATTGAGCTAAGGGGACCCCATTTGGGATTGGGACCCATAGTTTTAAAAAGCTGTAGTTTGTAGCAATTCTCCCCTGCTTATAGGGAAGAGCACAGATTCTTTGGCCTATATTTCCCATAAACACATACGTACTATTCTCCAGAGCTCCTGATAATTTAAGTCCAAGTTTGGACCACCAAATGTTTTAGATGATGATGATGATGATGTCCACTAGCTTCTAGCATTGACCAAGCTGTTAAGGCAGGCATGGGCAAACTTCAGCCCTCCAGATGTTTTGGACTTCAATTCCCACAATTTCAAACTGCCGGTAGGCTGTTAGGAATTGTGGGAGTTGCAGTCCAAAACACCTGGAGGGCTTAAGTTTGCCTATGCCTGTGTTAAGAACATGTTGGAGTTGTGGCTCCAAAGGAGCCCATCCTGTCCTCAGAAAAAGCGTAACTATTTGTACTTTAACAAGGGGTGGGGAACGTTGGCTCTGCAGATGTTTTTCATACAACTCCCATCGGTTTTGACCAGTTTGGTAAATTCCAAAGAGTAGTATGAGTCATACTTCCAAATATCTGGTATACTGGCTTTGCACAGAGTTACTGAATTATCTCTCTCTGTGCATTGTTTAGTTCAGACAGGGAAGATGGACAATGTAGTCCTACAACATTGCAAGGACAAAAGGTTTCCCATCTCTGGCGAGACCTGCCCTATCTAATAGGCCTGGGTAACAACGGAAAAATTTGTTTCTAAAATCGATTCGTTTTTTGGGGGTTTTTGCGTTTCGTTATTTAAAATAATTACAAAATTTTCCTTTTAAAAAGTTCGATATTTACGAAATTTCGTAAATGTGAAAAAATTACAAAACATTAACGAATCGATTTCCGAAACAATAACGAATCGATTCGTTAATGGCGGACGCGACCGCGAAATACGCTAAAAAACCTCCAAAAACTTCTGAAGCTTCCCTCTCCCTCTGTTGTTGACTGTTGGTGTGATATTATAATTTTTTTTCACTAATTAAACAAAAAACAACCATAAAACTTGCCCCAGACATGCGGAAATAATAACGAAACGACCTCAAAACAATAACGAAACGAATACAATAACGAAATACGAAGCATTTACAAAACTATTTAAAAATTCATTTTTTTAAAAAAATTGCTCCAGAATGGTTCGTTATCGTTTTGTAATTAAAAAAATTAACGAATTATTAACGAATTACGAATTAACGAAACGAAACCGCCCAGCCCTACTATCTAATGGCTGTTGTGACTATTGATCTAAGTGGCCAGGTGCAAAAAAGAAGACAAGGGCACTGTGCTCTCGCACGCTGGGCCTGTGCATAAGACTGTAGACAGGACATACATTCTGTGTGCCCAACGGGACGCCGGGGCTGCCTCAGATTAAAGGTCTTTGGATTTCTTTAAAACACAGTCTCTAGAATGCTTAAAGATTCAACAAAGTTCTTTATTAATGAAAACAAACAGGGACTTTAAAGCTTTCTTAACAGTCTATTGGCTCTCTCTCAGTCTTGTCCACAGGGAACAGGCACTATCTTCATAAACTGTATTTAGCTAATAGGGAAATCCTTAATTTCTAATCTGGGCAGTCTGTCTTTGCCTCTGTTGGCGTGGAGCCCTTGCACCTGGTACCAACTGCATCTGGCTTCTGCGAGTGACCCTTACCAAGCAGAGCTTTGTAGACTTCCAGAGGAAAAAGGAGTTCAGGTTTCGGTGATGGCTGGCTGAAGTCTCTCAGCAAAGGAGCTGTAAGGCTGTATGATCCTCGGCCAAGCTGTAGGCTGTATAACCCCGGGCAAGCTGTAGAAGACGAAGCTTTCTACAGGAGCTCTTGGTATTATGTCCTGCATGGAAAGCTTCTCTGTGTGGACTGAACCCAAACTGGCTCCTATTCCTTCCAAAACCCAAAGGGGGCGGGACCAGGTAACCTTACTATAATTGACAGGTGGCTTGCCCTATGATTGCAGCCAAAAGAAGCCACCTATCTGCAGAGTCCCTGAAACTTAGGACTACAACAAACATTCAATGCAAAGCAAACAAAATTGGAGCTCCTGGTACAGTTGTACCTGCACAGGCACTGTGCACAGAAGAGGATATTTCACCAGTTATAGCTTGTCATACAAACAATGTTGAAATTCCCACTTCTGTAAAACTATGAAGGCAGCAGGAACCTGGCTTCTTTTACATCCTATTTTACAAAGACAAAAGAAAATTTAAATTAATACTTCCCAAATGAGTTGTTATTGTACCATTTTAACTATTTGAATTATTTCCCCTCTATATGATTACATATTTATTGAAGGTATGTTGCACGTTGCTACAAGTTGGCCCTGGACTTGAGCAAAATTGGTTAGTTTTCTGTGTTGTTAATTGTGCGGAAAGGGATTTTGTGCTGGTACAACTGCACCAGGAGGTCCAATTTTGTTTGCTTTGCATTTAATGTTTGTTGCTGTCCTAAGTTTCAGGGACTCTGCAGATATGAGGCATCTTTTGGCTGCAATTATAGGGCAAGCCACCTGTCAATTATAGTTAGGTCCCCTGGTCCCGCCCCGTTTGGGTTTTTGGAGGGAATAGGAGCCTTTTTGAGTCCAGTCCACACAGAGAAGCTTTCCATGCAGGACATAATACCAAGAACTCCTGTAGAAAGCTTCGTCTTCTACGGCTTGGCCGGGGAGATATACAGCCTACAGCTTGGCCGGGGAGAAAAGGCCCACAGCTTGGCTGAGGATTTTACAGCTTTACAGCTCCTTTGCTGAAGGACTTCAGCCAGCCATCACTGAAACCTGAACTCCTTCTTTTCCCCTGGAAGTCTACAAAGCTCTGCTTGGTAAGGGTCACTCGCGGAAGCCAGAAGCAGTTGGTACCGGGTGCAGGGGCTCCACGCCAACAGAGGCAAAGACAGACTGCCCAGATTAGAAGTTAAGGATTTCCCCATTAGTTAATTACAGTTAAGAAGATAGTGCCTGTTTCCCAGTGAACAAGATTGCAAGAGCCAATAGACTGTTAAGAAAGCTTGAAAGTACCTGTTTGTTTTCATTAATAAAGAACATTGTTGAACCTTTAAGCAATCTAAAGACTCTGTTTTAAGGAAATCCAAAGGCCTTTAATCTGAGGCAGCCCCGGCGCCCCGTTGGGCACACAGAATTTATGTCCTGTCTACAGTCTTATGCACAGGCCCAGCGTGCGACAGCACAGATTTCGTCATTCTCTTTGGCCCGGCCATCATCTTGTGCCACATCAGGAGCTTCAAAAAGGGATCGCGCAATACGACAGAATCATAATCGGCTATTTGTTCTCAGTCTCAAAAAAGTTTTACGAACTTCGACGGTGTCGCCATGTTCGCTTGTTACAAAATAAATGTTATGGCATCTGAAGGAGCAACAGATTTACTGCGGCATACGGTTGCTATCATTGGCCTCGAGGGCCTTTCACACATCTGATGAAGGTAGGCTCTGGTCCAAAGGAACATATGCCGCCCTCAATGTGGCCCAAGACTCTGCTGTCAAGGTTTGGCAAACTAATTTTTAAAAAATGTGTCTTCTGCCATCTTGTGGCAGAACTGTTATAATTGAGTCTCAAATATTTTCCAGCCATGGGCAAACTTGGGCCCTCCAGGTGTTTTGGACTTCAACTCCCACAATTCCTAACAGCCTATGGCTGTTAGGAATTGTGGGAGTTGAAGTCCAAAGCACCCGGAGGGCCCAAGTTTGCCTATGCCTGTTCTAGACTGTATTTGCAACCATAGAAGGGAAAGGGTTAACTGTGAGCTTTGACTACATTTCCCAGAGGCCCGCGCGAGGGTTGAATCTCGACAGCGGCGCAAAGGCTTCTGGGAATGGTAGCTTTCCAGCCGAAACAGCCACTTAACTTTCTTTTTTCCGTCAGGGGAGGCCGAAAATGGCGTTCGTGCTGCCGAGGAAGGTGTTCGTGCTGCCGAAGAAGGCGGGCGTGTCGCTGAAGCAGGTGAAGAGCATCCTCGTCCGCTTCTGCCCCTTCGAGGCCAACGTGGAGAGCACCAGGTGAGGAGGAGGAGGAGGAGATGGGCCCTCTGCAGAGGCCAAAAGGGGAAGGAAGGCCTTCGCTCTCCATTGAAGCCCGCCTCGCGTAGTGCTTTTGAGTCTTCATTGATGGTAGGATAGACGCCTAATTAATCCTGAAATGTTCCTAGGCCTCATACTGCTGGTTAGATCATAGAATAATAGACTTGGAAGAGACCACATGGACCATCTAGTCCAACCCAAAGCACAATCAAAGCACCCCTGACAGATGGCCAGACAGCCTCTGTTTATAGAATTCTAGACTTGGAAGGGAGTATAGAATTCTAGACTTGGGAGCCCTCAAGGTCACCCAGTCCAGCCCCCTTCTGCTATACAGGAAGGCACAATGAAAGCACCACCAACAGATGGACAGCCAGCCTCCAAGGAAGGAGCTTCCACCACACTCTGAGGCAGAGAGTTCCACTGTTGAATTATTATTATTATTATTGGGTTGTTGTAGGTTTTTCCGGGCTATATGGCCATGTTCTGGAGGCAATTTTTCTCCTGACGTTTCGCCTGCATCTATGGCAAGCATCCTCAGAGGTAGTGAGGTCTGTTGGAAGTAGGAAAAATGGGTTTATATATCTGTGGAATGACCAGGGTGAGACAAAGGACTTTTGTCTGTTGGGGCTAGCTGTGAATGTTTCAGCTGATCACCTTGATTAGCATTCAATGGCTTGGAAGGGCCTGGGGGGAATCTCTTGTTGAGAGTGATTTTATGTGCCTGTTTGTTTCCCCTCTGTTGTTTTGCTGTTGTAATTTTTGAGTTTTTTAATACTGGTAGCCAGATTTTGTTCATTTTCATGGTTCTTCCTTTCTGTTGAAATTGTCCACATGCTTGTGGATTTCAATGGCTTCTCTGTGTAGTCTGGCATGGTGGTTGTTGGTGTGGTCCAGCATTTCTGTGTTCTCAAATAATATGCTGTGTCCAGGCTGGTTCATCAGGTGCTCTGCTATGGCTGACTTCTCTGGTTGGAGTAGTCTGCAATGCCTTTCATGTTCCTTGATGCGTGTCTGGGCGCTACGTTTGGTAGTCCCTATGTAGACTTGTCCACAGCTGCATGGTACACGGTAGTAATATTATTATTTATTTATTTATTTAAAAGTTTTATATACCTGTCTTCTCCACCTCCGGAGAAGACTCAGAGGGCTCAGGTCAGTTCACAACATATATTCAAACAACAGCAATACAAAAACAATACAGTAAATCATCATTAAACATTAAAACCTAAAATACAGTAAAAATACCTCATCACATTGCACAAGGCAAGTCGTCAAATAGAGTTACGATTCATCACCATCCTTCCCTATGCACAGGGTTATTGACTCACTCGTCAAATGCCATATTCCAAAGCCAGGTTTTTAGTAGCTTTCTAAATGACAGGAGGGAAGGGGCAGATCTAATCTCTAGTGGAAGGGAGTTCCAGAGCCGGGGAGCCACCACCAAGAAGGCCCTGTCCCTCGTCCCCACCAGACGCGATTGTGAAGGTGGTGGGACCGAGAGCAGGGCCGCTCCTGAGATCTTAATAACCTTGATGGTTCATAGGGGAGAATCCGTTCGGACAGGTAAATTGGGCCGGAGTCGTTTAGGGCTTTATAGGTCAGCTCTTACAGTCAGGAAGTTCTTCCTAATGTTCAGTTGGAATCTCTTTTCCTGTAATTTGAACCCATTGCTCTTATTGCTAGTTTCCATGGCAGCAGACAACAAGCTTGCTCCCTCTTCCTTGTGACAGCCTTTCAAATATGTAAACATGGCTATCATGCCTCCCCTCAACCTTCTCTTCTGCAGGCTAAACATATCAATCTCTTAAAGATAATCTATATAAATAAAAATGCAGTGTTCGTTTGTGGGATTAACAAAACTCAAAAACCATTGGACAAATTGACACCAAATTTGGACACAATACACGTAATAATCCAACGAGTGTCCATCACCCCTAAACACGCACACACACACAAAAACCCCAGCGGAACAGACTTAAAACCCCCCAAAAATACACAATATATAAATATACACATACAGTCATATACTTATACACATGCACACTTTCATACACACACATACATACATATACACATGCACACACACATATACAGATACACACAAATATGCATATAGACAAGCACACACATATACACAATATGCATGTACACATATAAATACACACATATATACACACACACACACAAACACACATATATGCTCAAATATATACACACGCACAAACACATATACACACACAAAATACATATATACAGACTGGGCCACAGCAACGCATGGCAGAGGTCGGCTAGTAATAATAATAAAACTTTATTTATACTCCGCCACTATCTCCCCAAGGGGACTCAGGGCGGTTTACATGAGGCCAATCCCAACAACACATCAGTAAACAGCAAAGCAACACGCAAATAAAACAGTACAATAATATAACTCACATATAAGCAATAACACACAAAATTTACAAATATGCAAACATTAAAACAATTAAACATAACAGTATTAAAATTCACAGTTAAAATTCATTGAAACATATTCAAAGCTAAAAATCATAGTATCCTCTTCAGTTTTGCATTGCTAAAATGCTTGTGCAGTACCAGTTTTGGTGATGAAGATGGTATTTATTTATATCCTGCGCTTATTTCTTAATTGAGACAAAAAGCAGCTAACAACATGTTAAAAGCAGTATAATTTAAAATCCACAACATACAAGTATTAAAACAAAATTAAACAAACCAGCCAATTCTAATTCCTTGAAATACTTAACAACTGTTAAAATAATAATTTATCTTGTCTTTGTAGCCTGCTCTGGATTCCTTTTTGGCTAAATGGTGAAATGTAAAAGTATCATATAAATAAGTAAAACCAATCTATTGACTCGCTTTAAGCAAGATTGCCTCATAAAGTGTTTCTTACTTGAATATAGAAATAGAAACTGGTGATGATAATTGTATTTCCTATTTCCGTGTGTTAGAAAAGACAAATTTATTACATTTTAATATCTTGCTTATTGTTGACCTTAATTTTTGTGTTTCAAGCTTTGTCGGATGGATGACAATGATCAATAACCAATCTCTTACTTTTT